AAGTTCCCATTTTTTACATTTAAGTCTGTTCTGAAAGTGAGAAGTCGCACTTTGCCTGCCCTCTGTCACCTCCACAACCTTTCCCCTTCTTTATTTATTTTGCTGGATGTCTCTTTTATTTCTTATAAAGTATGTCAGATGCTAAAGGCAGTTCTTGCTTCTTTTTTGCCCCTTTGTTATTTGATTTGGCCTCTAGAGCTCAACAAAGAGTATCAAATATTGTTTTATTTCTAGCCTCTAGGAAAAAAAGGATGGAAGATTAATAGATACGTATGACCATTGTGGTTTTATACATATAGATGTGTGTGAGAGTATGTCCTACACTCTTATATATCTATATAGATATATATAAAAACACAAATCTCATTTCCACATTAGGAATCAAATCAGGAAGTGTTTTTCAGTGTGTTCTAATGTTGCAAAGAAAGTTTCTCATGGCCTGTGAGAAATATCTGTTAGAAATATTAATCCTCTCCCCAGCAATCCAAGTCCTGGGGCTGCAAGATTTTTCATCATTTCCCTACCCCTCCTGACCCTGTTTACTTTCTGTTGTTTAATGGTTTTCCTTTTGATCTACAAATTAATTTCTTGTTGGAAAAGAACGCTTTGCACTTGAAGAGCTCAACCAGTGCCGTCTCCTAGCTCAGTGTTAATTCTCATCTATTTCAACTGACTCCTCAGTCCACTGCATTTGGATCCAGTTCTGCCATGTGTTTTTGTCAGCCACTTCCCACCATCTGGCCTCTGCATGGCCCTGAAATGTTGCGTAGAACAGGAGTATGCTGACTCAAAGGGAGACAAAAGAGGGAATTGTGGCGCCTGTTATTTGGGCTGTGATCCTCTCCCTCTAAAATCAGTGGGAGTTTTGCTACTGACTTCTGCACAAGTGGAATTGTGCTCTTGGTGTTTCACCTCTGCGTGCTTGGTTGGTGGGCTAGCCTGCCCCTCCAACTACTCCCCTTTTTGGGGGCAGAAAAAAATGGGCTGCTTCACATATGCTGTGATGCACAATCGAGCAGAAAGTCTCATCTCAGATAAGAGGACCTGAAATGCAGGTCAGTTGAGGCATCCAGAACAACATGTGAGAGCTCAAAGGGGTGCTGTGAAGGGTCAGATCTCCCACCCTGCTCCCTGGGTCTCCCTAGTAGCTTACAAACTACCTCAGAATGGAAAGAGTGATGAGTTCAAATGATATGTTAGACCACCATAATTTATAAACCATCATGGCTTAAAGTGTTGTGTTAAGCTAGGCATAGGAACAAATTATTTTGACCAGACTGATTCTAAAATACAGTTGAAAAAGGTGTTTCACTTTCTGACTATCTCAGTCACTAATTAGTGAATTACTTTACAGGAAGGCAGTTCATCTAGAAACATTTGGTTGAAAGGTTTTTGTGATTCCAAAGGGCATGTTGGAAATGGTTTCTGAAGCCAAGGAGTGAATAGAAGAAACACAGTGATTCATATTGCCCATTATAATATGCATTCTAATTATTCTGATTATTTCATCCCATTAAAAGAGGAGGTTGGTGATGTGGCGGCTGCCAATGACTGTCCTTACGTTGCAGTGGATGGAAGTGTCTGTGAGAGCTGCTACTGGCTGGATCTGGCATAGGATCAATGCAGGCAAAAGGCAGGCAGTGTCTGGTCACATACCGAGCTCCTGTGCAAGGCTGGATTTACACAGGGACTCAAAAATCACCAGACCAATATGTGGCTACAGGCCAGTGTAGAAGCCGATGGTTGACTGGTTCTTCTGATGAGGGAAAGGTTCATCCTAGATGATATGAAAACTCCAAGAAGTCCAAGCAAAGTATGTCTGCTTCAGGCAACAGTTGGTGGTGTAAGAAAAGAAGGTGTGTGGCACAGGAGAGGTCGTTCAACCTCCATGTGTTTCCATTTTTCAGAGCTAAATTGGGCATGATGGCATTTCTTCACCACAAAGAGGTCTGTGGTGTCATGAAGATAAATGGACTATACATTAGAGGAGCTCCATGTGTGTGATCAAAGTGTGTGTGTGTGTGTGTGTGTGTGTGTGTGTGCGAGAGAGAGAGAGAGAGAGAGAGAGAGAGAGAGAGAGAGAGGTACATACAGAGAAGTGAACTTGGACATGTGGGCGTTTGCTAAATGAAATGGCAGTAGCTATAGACTGAAACCCTAAGTGGGAGTTTACAGCCCCATCTGTGTGAGGGGTAGAGTAGGAGTGTGCTTTTAGCCTTTAGCCTTAGCCCTTCTGTTGCATCCCAGTCGCTTCTGAAGTATTGAGCCTGATTTAGAGAGGTGTCACATGGGGGACTACAGGCAGAAAAGGGATTTCAGAAATGGTCCCTCCAGAGCAACGAAGGTCATGCAATAGCTGTGGCATAGTGGAGGGATGAAGGGTCAGCAACCTTAGCAGGAGTGGGGACACTGGTGTCATCTGCCACACCCCTTGGGCTTTCTTTATCCCCCTGAGCTGAGCTGTAATTCTCACAGTATCTACAGGGTGAATTTTCTCAACAACAATTAAGGATCAGAATGAGCCACTTGGCCAGCATGTGTTCAGTGGATATTCACACCTGGCCAAGAAAAGAGCTAAAAACAAGCCAAGCTGGGATGATGGCTCTCTCACAACTGGAGTCCTTGCTTCTGACGTTGTTACAGTCCCTCTACAGGTCTCATGCAGTGCAAATTGGGAAGTTTCCATTAAAAACTATGAACTGAGTTAATTTCTCCTCCCATCCTAATGTTAGAGTGACGTCTACTTGGAATTTTAATTCAGGAAATCTGGTTTGGCTATCAGAAAATTGGGAAAGGCTGTCAAGTTGAAAGCATTGGCTCCTTTACCTTCTTGATGACTTCTGCCTCTTACACCTGCAAGAGTGCAATTCAAGGCATTTTTAGACATAAAACAGGTCCAGCATGGTTGACTGGGACATGCTAGGATTTGTAGTCTTTTTCTGGCTAAACATTCAAAAGATTCTGCCTTTCAACACTTTTTCTATACATATATCCAGTAAGAGTGCATCAAACTAGTCCATGCTAGAAAACAACAAGCCTCACTCCTGCTCAGCTACCTGAATCCTGCACCAAATGAAACATGCAGTGCAAACTAAATAAATTATATGAACTAAGTGCTTAATCTGTGTCCCTTTTGTGACATAGTTGAAATCTGCATAAATATGAAGCACTTTGTAATCTCTGGTGGGAAAGCAACCATACAAAAATAAATAAATATCATTTTGAAAGAAGTGGAATGAAATGCCACTGCAAAGTTGTGACTTCAGTTTGTGCAGCTCTTCTCCTCCTGCAATCATTTTGTTACTGGAGTGGCAAGTGAATGTTTCTCTCTGCCAAGAGCTATTGAGTTCTTCTTGCTCGCACTAAACTTTTGAGCACTTCTGAGGGAAGCAGAAGATGGCGTTGATTAGACTAGTCTAATTTCTTGGGAGTGCGATATAGGAATCATTTTCCCCTCTTAGTTAAATGAGACTAGAAATATGGAGATGCTCCATGAGGAAGTGTACAAATATCATTTCTGCAGACCAAGGTGGAGAGTAATGTGTGGGCCAGAGAATAATTATTCTTTGGATATTACACTTCTCTGAAAATTTAATGACACAGTTCTTGGCACAAAAAAATGTACCATCACATGGTCCGAAATGTACATTTCAGTATAAAAGACGTTGAAATCAAATATGTTTATAAATGCATGTCTTAGGAGAAAATAGGTAAAAAGGAAAAATAGGAAAAATATACAAATAGAAAATAGGTAAACACACAAATGGAATCAATAAATATTAAATGATTGTATATATCAGTTTGCATGTGGACTAAAACACTTTGCAGATCAAATGAAGAAATTGACTTTTATGGAGTTATGAATGAGCACATGCAAAATTGTCATAGACCAGAAACAGAGTTATATCCTTCCCTGTCAAGGCCAGGAATCAGAGCCCAAGATTGACCAGGAAAGACTTCCACTGTTGCCCAAGACAAATGCCTGCTTCTTCTCTGTAGCCTTCTGTTGAGGTGAACTGATGACCAGTCTGGATGCTGAGGGATTAGGTGTTTGCAAATTGATATACAAAACGACCTGATAAGCACCTTTCAAACTAATGTGCTAATCAGAACCTTAGCACCAGATTTTTCACTTCTCCGAATATTAGATCTTGGCAACTGAAATGTTTCCAAGTGCGTATATAAATATATATTTTGGAGATAAATTTTGTAGTATTGTTATTATTAATTTTAATTTTAATATCGTTGAGATGTTATACAAAATATAAATGGAAGTATGGGTGGAAAGATACAGAGGTGAAACACAAGAGAAAGGTGTATGTTTCCCATTCCCTTCAAGTCATTTATTACTAAGGGTTGAGAGTATGCTGAAGGCACAATGGGAAATTCCACCAAACGGATAATAACTAAGAAGTACGAAACCGACAGATGTCTTTGTAAACTCATCAGCTATTTCAATTAGGGCTATTTTTATTGAAAAGGGGTTTGAATGTTAAACTGTTTAATATTTTAAGCTTCTTTAAATTTATATACTGGAATTTTATACTGGCTTTTATTGCATTTGCATTGTATTGCATATTTTTAATATTTTGATTAATTGTTGTGAACTAAGCTTTCTGTCCAGACAGCTTCAGCTACTGAGTGGCAGAGATAAATAAATAAATGATAAGGGGTTGTTTTTGGAGATACAGTGACAAGATCTGTCACAAAATCTAGTGCTGTGGTATTTCTTTAAAATACCTTTGAGCTGCCTTTAACCCTAACATTCATATTTAAAAGAATGCAATTAAAAACAAAACAAATTCATAAAAGGAATGAACACCAACATAATGTATTTGGCCTAGGAACTACTAAAACCTACCATACAATTCCACCTCCAAGCCACAGCAACCATAATTGGGGATAGATGAGACTGAGCAAGCAAGTTGTCCAGGCTCTTCTAAAAGCCTGCAGTGTTGGGAACTGATTGAACCCAGAGGACAAAGCCCCCCACAGGTGAGGGACTCTCAAGAAAAGACCTTTTCCCATATAGTTGTCCCCCTAACTGCCCCCAAAGATGGATCTCTATGGCTAATCTAAAGGTCTAAGCAAGAGGATATGGATCCCAAAAGCTTTAGGGCTTTAAAGGACCACGATGTTGCTATGTAATGTGTGAAACTATTCATAGTTGCAAGTGAAAAAGTTTAAAAAAATCTCTGTCTTGCCAACTGGTTAGATTTCAGCCAAACGGGAAATGAACTGTGTTGCTCAAGCGCATCAAATAATGACCAATTAATCTTCAGGAAAGTGTGTCTTCTCTTCTCTTCTTTCCTTTCTCCTCTTTTTCTTCCCTGTGGCCCTTCTGCTCTTTATTTTTTTCTGTCCTCCATAAAGTAGCACAAAGCTCCGGGCAGTCAATTTCAAGGCAGTGGACTGTAAAAAGCTGTTAGAATAATAGTTTATTGACCCAGGATGTGGCAGCAGCAGCTGAGGGCAGGCACAATTCTTAGCAAAACTTAATCGCCACAAAGAAGGGTTGATCACCTTTGATCATTTCCATGACCTTTGGGGAATGGGGGACTTTGCATTGGGGGTGGGGAACTTTTGGAGAGAGGCACATCACAAGTTCTTGTTGCCTTCAACTTGCTTTGACAGTAGTATTTCCAGACCCGGAGGCTGCTGCACCTCAGGACTCTGCCATCTTGTCTTGTTGCATGTGCAGAAGAGACCTTAATTAAGCCCCATGGCAAAAGCTCTGTGGAAGTTATTTAGATATTCAGAAGAAGACTGAAAGCACAATCCTACAGGATTGGTGCTCCTTAGGTAAAGGGAATCAAGAATGGAAGCGTCTACCTAGGGATGTGCAGATCAGCAAAACTCAAACCCACCAAAGTTCTAATTCCATCTCAAAGCTCATTCTGACTTGCATCTGGATCAGATTGCGAGTGGTGCTGCTGCTGTTGTTTTCTAAGGGATGCACATACTATTCCCTTGTCGTTCAAAGTATATTTGTGGACATTTTTTGTTCAAAGATGCACACTTTCATGCAGCTTTCAAATGTATGCATACATCAGAGACATTTTGTTGGGCCTGCAAATCACATTGCAAGTTCTGAAATGTGAATCACAGATTTCATCTCAATCTGTCTATGGCCCAGAAGGTGAAAACTCAGTAAATCATCTCCAGAAATGAAGTGGAATGACTTTCTCATACATCCCAACCTCCGCCTAATCCAAAGCTCAAACAGCAAGATCAAGGCAGGGCTGGTAAAAAGACAGATAGCTTTTCACCTTCCACTGCCTTTTAAAAATCATGCCCTGTTAGATTCTCAGCCCATGGCTGAGTGGAAACTAGAACCTGGATCTAAGGTGCACTGGCTTTTGAATGTTTATATTTAAACATTTATACTTATGCTCAACTTAATGTTTTAATTGCACTAAACTGCCTAGAGAGAGGTGTGTATTGGATGGCCTAGAAATGTAATAAACAAGTAAATGGGTGTTTTGCAACAGAGAGCTACTCCCTGTTAAGCAGGAGCACCATCCTTGGAGCATGTCTACCAGCCCTTCCCAACAAGGAATTGCTTGCACTGAGGAGCCAAATCTGATGCCAGGCCTTTGAGATTGAGGCAGGTTTGTGTGGCAGGCTGGCAACATTCAGGCTGGGTGCCATCACAGCTTTAACAGAGGATTTCGTCCACTGGGCTTGCCAAGGACCCAGGAAGATGACGATAGTACAGGAAGTAAGCTGCTGGCTCCAGCTTCCCTGAGAACTTGGTTCAAGGACCCCTCTCCAAGTTCCTTACATGTTGCAAGAATAAATGCCATGCATACCATCCTTTGAGCAGGAAAAAGGAAAAGCAAATGTGATGGACAGTTTGATAGGTTAGATGTGCATAGTGCTTCCAAGGGCCCAGAAGAAAGGTAAGAATTCTGGGTTTTGGGTTTTGTGTGTGTGCGCATGTGTGCAAAAGGCTTGGAAACAATGTGCATCTGCTGAGTAACTCATACTACAAAATGCAGCTCTTGGTGTGCGTCAGTGGCTGCTCACAATTTTATCAGCACCAAACTTTACAACCTAACAGGCAAAAGTAAAAATAACCTTTGCAGCCCACAGTAAAAATGATTTTTATTTGTAATTCACTTGCTCTGTTATGGATCCAAGAGTTTTAGTTGTATTATGCTCTCTCTCGCGCTCTCTCGTTTGAAAGCAAAGGAGCAGATAGGAAGGAAACACTCCATCTCACCTGTACAGATGTTTTACAGCTTCTCCAGAACAGGGACTGGCTGTTGTTTGTAGAAGTAAGAACATAGGAGGCAGGTGGGAATCCTGAAGTCAGTAACTTTTCTGAGTGATGTACAGTTTTTGCCAAAGGGATAAGGCAAAGGGAGGGAGAGAAAGAATTTTATGCTGAAGATACTTCTACTTAAGAAAGGGCAGTAACAAAATTAACTTATTAAAAACAGTGAATAATTATATCCAGTTTTTGCATAATATTATATATAGCAAGGTTTAATATGAAACATTGTTAGCTAATGACTAGTCATATAATGCTAATTAATTCACAGATATTTATTTATTATAGTTATAGTTCCTGTTGTCTTTTTTGTTCCATGTGAACACTTCTTTCAAATAATACCTGTAAGGAAAAATGGCACAATTCGCATGAAAGAGAGCCCTTGCTTCTTTCTTTGACAATTAAAACACTGACTTGACATCTCCAGGGCACATGGAACTATTCCTGGCCAAACTGGGGGAAGTATATGTTTGAAACATATGCAGGACAATCTCCTTTCAGCAGAGAATTTCATTGCAATATTCAGAGAATTGGGAAATCTGACGGATTTTTAAATCTAAATATCTGAAGGTGTTTTAATCTAACCATGAGTCCAAGAAGTGAAAAATAGATCTTGTTCCTCAATATGTGAAGGAAACAAATTTCTTCTCCTTCTCAGGCACCAAGGCAGATTTTAAATTATGTAAAATATGTATTTTAAACTGAAGTATGGAAAAGTCCAGAAGAATAAAAAGATCTGGAACTGGAAATCTTATACTATTAGTGACAGGAGACAGCTCTGGGGAGGAGCTAACAAAATCTGGGTGCCACCACAGAAAAGCCCTTCCTTTTCTTATCAACTTGACCTACCTCATTTGGAAACACCTGGAGAAGTTTGTTCCCTAATGTCATGGCACAGTCCTACTTCTCTCTCTCTCTGTTTCTCCAGATTACTCTTGACTGCTCTCATCCTACAATGATGTTACTGTGAAATTAAAAACTGCTATCCTTGCCTGTCACTAAATGTGCAATGTTCTTTCCCAGTCAGAGCATCATATTTAGGTGCACAGGGTATGTCAATGCTCAGGCAGAGCAAAACACTGCACAGACCCTGGGTCCTTGAACAAGCCCATTCTTTGAACATACACCCAGGATAAATGGCAAGGAACATGAATGTGTGTGTGGGAGAGAAAGAGTGCAATATGCAAGTGAATCATCAGAAGAAGCATTAACTGCCAGCCCCTCTTTATGCAATCTTGAGAGATAGATGGAGCAAGTCTTAAGAGCATCACCAACAATCACAGCTGATGTATAGACAGCAGGCAGACAACAAGGAGAACTGATACATCTCTTTGTAATGCAAAATCAGGGTACAGGGAAAGCGGGGAAAAACAAGCTCAAGATAGATGGAATGAGGCAGGTTTATTGCAAGCTTAAATGCACAAGAACAGGTGCAGAGAGGAAGGACTGAGGAAGAGAGGTAACATGGAGTGTGATGGAAAGCCATGAAGCTGTCTCAGCAGGGCTCCGTGTTCTGTTGACTGGCAATTTCAGGAAGACCCCTGCATGCATGGCCTGTGTCAAGGGGGTGTGGAGCTGCTGGCCTCAACTGGCAGCAGGGGAGGCCATTGACACTTATGTCACTTGGGCTCCTTATCCATTGCACCTTTAATTCTGAGCTTCACAGAAGCTATGTGTAGTGGGAACCTATTCAGCTATGTGACTGGTTCTTAGAACATGCAGAGTACACACTGCAATGGATAAGAAGCCCCACAGATACAGGGGTCCCCAGTCTGGCAAGCTGTTACTGCTCTTCCCTGGGCAATCTACTTGTTCATGAGGAGTTCTGCAGGGAGGTAGCCCAGGCCTGTTTGCAGCCTGCCTATATTACTGGCTCTTGGAGATTTTGTTTGCAAATAATTAACCCATTTAAAAAAGGGGGAAAAAATCAACTTTCCAAGGAAAAGTTTGAAATGCGTGATGGTAGCTTAACTCCTGCCTGTTTGCAAAATCGAAATAGCTTTATTGAAAGGGTGCATGTGTGCTTAGTATAAATACAGACTTTAGTCACTAGGCAGCACTAAACTGCCAGGGGGTTCCACTAGCAGGCGATTCTTGTTTGAGAGAGAGAGAAAGCCTCAAATGTCATCTCTACCTGATGTGTCTTTTCACAACGGAGTAACTTCTTGTTTGGCCATCCCCTGCTTCCAGGTGTCTGTGCATAAAGAGACTGCCCCGTGTCAGAAGCATTCTCACAGGACAGTCTTCCCTTTCAGGGCTTATCTAGGCCAGGACTGACTTAAAGATTAACCCAAAGAAGAGATTGAAGGAGCCTTGAAGTTGCCCATTGATACGTCATACCTGGACAGTGAACTGAGCAGGCAGGCAGGCAGGCACAAGGTACGGATTTGTGATAATGGGCCTGCTCCATTGGCTCGATCATATACATCACAAACACACACACACACACACACACACACACACACACTTCTTCACTCCTTATTACAGATATAGACTATATGCTTTCAGAATGCCAAGCATTTCCAGACCCAAGATGTGTTTTGCAGAACAGAGGCAGGGGCAGTAAAAACATTTGCATATTGTAACAGTGAAATTCACTGTTTTTAATGGGCATAGAAATGCTTTAGTCAATGGGGGGATGCATATAAAATTGCTTATAATTTGAGAAATGTACACTAGAATGTGTACATTTCTAATGTACACTGGAATGGAATGGAATGGAATGGAATGGAATGG